ATTTAGACAAATTAAAACATTTTTGAACTATTTGGTTTTTTTTTTTTTGCAGTCCCTGAATTTTTCAAATCACTCATTTTAATATAATTCTGTTTAAAACTTTTGTGGGTTTTTTTTCGACTGGTGAGACAATGTCGTAGTAAAAATATTTTAATGTGGTAGTAGCTAACAGATGTAATCATTTTTGCTGTCAAAATTATGGATTAAAGTATAAAATAAGAAGGTTAGTGAAAATCGGGGGACATTTGGCGTCCCGATCAAGGGTGAATCGGGACGTGTTACTAGACCCTTGAAAATCGGGACGTCCCGCGCAAATCGGGACACCTGGCAACACTAGCGGAGATCGAGCCCGGATTGTTCGCGTTTACGGCGAGCACTACGCCCTTGAGCTACTCAACTCAAGCACGGCTCATATGTTTTATATCTGGGGGCACGGCAGTGCCCCCGCCAAGTCGAGCAAAACAGCGGCACGGCCGTATCATCATTGCGAGACTTGGTTATTTTACGAGTTATGTTTTTGATGGCATGTCTTTGTTTAATCATAACGTTATCTCCACACTAGGAATTTTTCCTAAGTACATCGTGGGGGTAGTTTAAATACATTAATTTCACAAGGACAAACATCCAGAACTGGAACAATTATTTGTAGGTAATACAAATTTTTGTTCCATGTGGGATTCGAACCTGCGGCGCTCAGCGCTACAACTCATTACCAAGTCACTCCGCCATGGAGCCAAAGGTGAAAGCCAACGAGTTTGTATTTTTACTTGATCCGAATTGCTTACGTTCATTTCTCATTTCTAAAAAAATATGTATGAACTGAAAATTTGCCGCCATTACATCATTTAATATTTAAATATTACAATCATTAACGTATTTCAAAATTACTTACTACCAAAAATATCGCTTATAAAAGTCTCAATCGTTAAAATGCTCGATGGTGCTATAGGTATCTAGTTATAGTATAGTGTACTATAGCCCTATCGGTGTATCAACGCGATCGCGCGGTGTCGGTGAGAAAAAGTAACATGTCCTGCCGTTGCGATTACCCGGAGAGTACTGAATCGAACGGCGTCTGCGTATGATGTTTTATAGTATTTTTAAAATAATTATATAAAATAATTGACAAAATAAAACGAGCTAAATTTTTTTTTTGGATATTTAACATTACATGTAAAGTAAAGTAAACTAGAGTTACAGCCTATATACGTCCCACTGCTGGACTCAGGCCTCCCCTCATTTCTGAGAGGATTTAGGGCAAGGAAGTGTCCACCGCGCTGCCCAAATGCGTGTTGACGAACTTTACATGTCTTCGAAAATATTTTTTTTTCTTATTTCTCAGACATGCGGGTTTCCTCACGATGTTTTTCTTAACCGCCGAGCAAGTTGTAAATCAGCACTTGAAATTGCAACTAACAATTTCATTGGAGCCGGCGGGGATCGAACCCGGGTTACTCGCGTTCTGTTATATTTACAGCGAGCGTTAACCACTGAGCTACCACGGCTCATAGTAACATTACATGTATTTTGATAAAATAATTAAAATAGATATGTTTATAACCAAATACATGGAAAAAATTACTTTGAAGTAGACAGTTTTGGTGATTTTATAATATTATTTTATAATATTAAATCGAAATATTTTCGTAATTTAGGTTTTGCTATACACTAAAAAAATATATTTCATTATAATAACGCTTAAAATAAAGTATTTAAGCTTATAATAATGGTTGTATTCAACCTGAAAGATAACTCTGATGCATATTTTCGTAAAACGCTGTGAAGGGATTGTCTTCGCCCTAAAAAACCGTCATTAAAAACTATGATTTTGCATAGCTTTTTACTAAATAAAGACTTTATCTTTCTAAAGCCCTAATTTTCAGCAAATAATCTCCTCACGTCGTTACGATATCGCCTTTGGAAAAACCATAAAACATGTAGTTTTCGACGCGAAACGCATATGCCCTCTTAACTGCATAAATAAAATAAATAAATAATTACAATTGCATAAGTTAATAAAAAATGCTATGCAATAGCTTTACCGCGACAGTCACCGAGTGCCACACGTATTTTTTTATTTTTGGTACCCCATGACACCAGGCACATGCAAGTGCATACGCATCCAGTGCCCTAGGATGGGACAATCAAATCTATCAGATATTGCCCTCAGAATGCTATTAGAGCTCCCACGAACCCTGCGCATGAGGGATGCTATTCTCTTCCGTACGCTGTAAACATCCCTGAAGCGCTACAATACCGCGGAAACCCCATCAGCATCCTGAAGGCATTATTATATTGTACTCGAAGGGCATTGTAGGCTCTCTGCGTGTACTTAACCCATAGACTGCACGTGTAAAATGACTGGCAAAAGGCTTTGAAAAGTGTGCAAAGCTACGGGACAGCATGTTACAGCGAACCGCCAATGCCCTTCTTTCTCTTTCTATGTCCGCATCATCAGTCAGATCCTCAGTTAAAACGTGACCAAGATACCTAAATTGATACACTCTATTTAACTGTACATTCCTTAATTTAACAGGCGGAATCGTTTGACAGCTCGAAATAACAACACTTCACTTTTTTTTACATTATAAATGAGACTGTGAGTCCCAGAATAAGTATCACAAATATTAAGAAATGTCCTCAGTGCGTTAATCGATGGGCTCAGCAACACCATGTCGTCTGCATAGCTTATGCTGTTAACGAAATGCCCATCTATTGAGCAGCCGACACCAGCGTTGCATGAGCTCAACGATTAATTGGTTAATGTACAAGTTGAAAAGCGCTGGTGAAGTTAGGCCACCCTGTCTCGCCCCGCACTCTAACCTGTACTCATTGGACAGTGCCTCTGTCCACCTGACCTGATTTATTTGATGGCCATACCAGTATTAAATATTTCAATCAACTCGCTTTGTAAGGCCACTTTACGCAGCTTCTTCCACAGAATATCATAATTAACTAGGTCAAATGCCTTTAACAGATCTAGGAAGGCAGCGTAAATTGGTGTTTTCCTATTGGTATAGTACCTAACAGTATGCTTGAGTGTTAATATTGCACTCTCAGTGGAGAGACTCTTTTTAAATCCGAACTGAGCATCATGTAATTTTAGATATCCACTGAGATGCCGCTCAAGCAGACTGTCAAGCACCTTAGCCATGATAGTAGCTAATGAGATGGGCCTATAGTTCTCTTTGTCAGATATATCTCCAGTTTTATTTTTTACTATAGGCACAACAATAGTTCTCATCAGCTGCTCAGGAAGAAAGGAATGTCTCATGCAAAGGGTGTAGAAGGTATCTAGAAGCCTGGGGAGATGAGGCCCTGCATGCAGATGATGCTCAATGCTGAGGCCATCATGCCCTGGCGATTTACCCCTCGTCATATTTTTAATTACGTCGAAAACTTCATTCGGCGTAAAACTAATTGGCACGCCCGCGCCCGTCTGGCCGTCCTCAACATCTGACACTATCCGCGACGAAATGTTCGGTGATATTATTTTAAAATGATCTTGAAATAAATTTGCTATCTCTCCTGGCTCATTCACCCCATCAATACTCACCGGGATACCCGGCTTAGGATTCACCTTTTTTTGTTTTGTTTCAAAAAAATTTTAAAGTATTTGTTTTTATGCTTTTCAACTAACATGTCCATTTTAATTTGATATTCATTATTTTGACAAAATTTTAATTTCTGTTTAAATAACTTTTTTGATTCATACATTTCTTTATACAATTTACCACCAATAGGTTTGCCATGCCACACCCAATTTATAAATTTTTGCCTAGCATCCCGGTGAGCATCCCTAACATGTTTATTCCAGCCAACAATACGAACGCCCTTCCGACACTTTCCCTTATTATAACTAAATATAGCGGCCTCTGACAATGATGCAACAATTTTATTATACATTACATCTATAGATTTTTTATGATCAAGGTTATAACACATTCTTTTACAGCAAGGAATAGGAGTATATTCATTTAAAGTATTAATATCTCTCAAATTTTTTTAAACAAAGATCATGGTATGTTGCAATTTGACCTTCATCTCTATGTCCCCAAACTACCTTGTTTATGCTTACCCTATTTTGCGATTCAAATTTAGGTCTGACCATCGACAGGTCACACTGTATCTCCAGTGGGAAGTAATCCGACCAATAAATGTCGTAGTGTATATCCACACCGACCACCACACTCCAGGCGGCATTGGTGACGACACAATGATCTAGCCAACGCCTGCTACCGTGCGCCTCACTTATAAAAGTATAGGTATCTGAGTTTTCACCTAATTTCGACATATCAGCACACAACCAATTTTGATCGAAACAAAAGCTAATTAATTCCTTACTGAAACGTTCTCTAGGATGTGTATTGAAGTCCCCTAAGATAAAAACAGATTCTACATTTTGATTTTCAACAATCGCCGCAATTTCACTCAAACAGTCACTAAATTCTAACAAATTTTCAGAACAATCCGTTGGCATATAAACACTAAATATAAGCAAAGAGCTGTTTCCTATATTCACTTTAATTGCTACGATACGCTCACTTTTGCACAAAATAACGGAGACCGATCTAAAGACACTCTTTCGCCATAAAAGAGCAACTCCACCGTACGGTCGACCGTATAGGATTCCTGCCGATGTATCTATCGCCGACTTACCGAAGAAACCAAAATCCTGATTTATATTGCCGAGACTCGGTATTTCGTGAGGGAGTAGCCAGGTCTTCTGTAATGCTATAATATCTTAGTGACTTAACACATTCTATGGATCTTTTCAACGATTAACAGTTAAAGCTCAAAAACTTGGCAGGCACTCCATTCAACCGTCTGCCCATTTTTTTTTCTCAAACTATTTTTTTTTATATATTATTCCTTTTTTAACTTTTCCTTTTTTTATTTATATTTTATTTACTCGCTTTTTATTTGTCGCTCTCACGCTTTGGAGCGTTATCATTTCTTTTGTAGAAAGTTACAAATCTTCGAAACGACACACCTTGAGGTCATATATTTTCGTCCATAAAAACGGACAACTTATGTTTCGGAATAAGGAACTCATAGACTTCGTATTCCTTTTTCTGCGTCATGTTCACTCTCTCCAAAGCAACTTCCACGCTTGTTTTGCTCATAATATATTTACTTATGTCTTCGACAGAAGCATTTTTGTCAACATTATAAATGTAAAACGGAATTTTAACATCCGCCTCCTTGAAACCGCAATCCAACTCTAGATCTGCTTTTCCTTTTTTCGCCATAAAACGATTTCGTAGCCGTCTTATTTGCAAAAGAATCCATTCATCCTTTGGTGCTTCTGGTTTCCATTGACCACCCTCGCGCACCACATCGGAAAACCTTTTACGTCCCGAGCTCATTGTTGTTTCATGTTTTTTATTCGCACTGTTTTCGTTAATCGGCGTAGGCTCGGAGTGCATAGGCGCAGGCGCAGCGGTGTTAGCACAATTGGCTACATTCGTCGAAACCACGGTGAGGGCCTCCACTTGCGACCCGCTGTTCTCTGGAGAACTTGCCTCGCAGCGATGTACAGTTAGTGGTGCGACCGAGACAGGAATATCGCGTGAGAATGGGACAGGTACGTCCTTATCAGCGCGAGCCAGTTCATTGACCTCGCTTATAGCGGTTGTTGACCCGCAGTGTATATGCGTTAAATCAACTGGGCCGCTATCTACATTCAAACTGTTGTTTAGTAAATACCCGCGTCTTCTATTGTTTATATTTTCATTTATTTCTAAAAACGGAACTCTTTCTTCCAACATTTCTAAAGTCACGTACTTCTCTTTTATAATTTTAATGTCATTTTTCAAAGTAAATTAGTTTAGATTAATCCCAACAATTCCTCAGAGCACTCCTCGTGATATGAAAGAAAATGCAAAGAGATGAACCCGATCGGAAAGCACTCGGTCGTCGACGATTCGAGCCAGTAAAAAAAGGGTCTCCGGATCTCTACACTCACCATACAAAACACAGCTGTATTAAGCTGCTATTTTACGCTGGTATTTTGTGAGAGTCCTTGCCCAGTCAAACCGACCCATTCATGCTACGTCTATAATATAATTAATTTCAGAGTGACTCTACCACGTAAATTCTTGTGGAATCGACTACAACTGATATTTTTCCGGACCGGTACGACTTGGGGACCTCTAAAAAAAAGCCCATTCTTTTTTATACGGACGACAATACATATGCAATTCCCCTGGTGTTGTAGTTGTTCATGGGCGGCGGTCGATATTTACCATTAGGTGAGCTCCGTGCACGTTTGACCCCTCTTCTAATAAACTTGCGTAAACATCCCCCCGGCTTGAAGAGTCCCCTTCAAAATAACTAACGCTAAGATTAAACTTAATTTTCGACTATAATTTCTAATCTAGAAAGCTAATTCAAACCACTAATTGGGCAAAGAGCACAAACGGACAACGCCCTGTTGTCCGTTTGTGCTCTTGTAATGATGAGCATGTAAGACCCAGTCTTGGTCCTAAAGCGAGCTACCTTAGTTACCCCGTCGGAACCGGGAGAAGCTTCTTCGACGATTCCTAATGGACAATGGAGAGGCGGCGTATTCTCCTTGGTGAGTACAAACACAATTTCGACAGTTAAAGGTTCAGTTGTTGTGTTCCATTTTTGCCGAGACTGCAACGTATGCAAGTATTCCATCTTCCATCGTTTCCAAAACGACTGCACCAACCAGTCCAATAATTTATGGCTTGCAGAAATACTAAGTTTGTTCTCATCCATGTCTATGGCGGGCAGATATTTCAAAGGCGTTAAATTCAAAAAATGTGCTGGAGTTAGAGCCAGTGGCTCCGAGGGGTCACTTAACAACGTACGACAAAGGGGGCGACTATTCATGACGCACTCAATTTGAGCGAGCACAGTACTTAACTCTTCAAAGGACAAAATTTGATCTCCCATTACTCGGTATAAATGACTCTTTAGACTCTTAATATTAGTCTCCCAATTTCCCCCAAAATGGCTCGCGGCGGGGACGTTCAGAGACCACTCGATGTGGTTCTCGGCTAGGATATGAGCGAACTCCGAATTATAATATTTACTGGTTAAAAGCTCATATATTTCTGATAATATACATTTCGCGCCGACGTAGTTTGTACCGTTATCCGAATACAATTTACATACAGGGCCACTCTTTTAAATGCACCCATGAAGTCCGCTGTGTTTAGATCACCAACGAGTTCTATATGCACAGCCCGTAATAGTCAGATATACGAAAATGCAGACGTAAGCTTTTGTGGATCTTATACTACGCCCGAGAGTGAGCGTGACCTTAAACGAAGCAGCAAAGCCAGACCCGGTGTGCATAAAGGGCTTTACGGATTGTGTTACTCGACAAGACCTAAGGTCCGCCATTTCCGTAAATGACGGCTTAGAACGTACTCAAAAGCAAGCCATACATCTGTGCACCCAATTGTGGATTAAATTACGTGCAGAAAGAATCCAATAATTCTGGCACAAGATTGACATCAACAATTCGGTGCCAGCGTGAGAATTCAATTTATGGTGGTAATCAACTAATGAATTCATGATATGGTCCTTACGCGATAAAACTATAGGGTGCTGTTGATCGAAACTCAACTGCAAGTTAGACAAGCGTCCACCTTGTAAAATTCCATCTTGTAAAAATGGCTTAAGACATTGAAAAGCGCGACTACAAGTTCTATTCGATTGTAATCTTGTAATTTCCTCGAAAAAATGCGCACGTTGAAGTTCACGCAATACTAGCAACTCGGCATAGCTGTAATCGGACGTTGCGATATACAAACGTCGCGGTAAAGAAGCTTCGCGAATCGACAAACGTAAATCACGTTATGCAATAATTTCGACCAAGAGGATAAACGGTTCGCCAAAGCAATGATTGGAGAAACCTTGCTCGAAACGTTCGCAACCAGAGCGTGCCTCTTCTCTTTCGGTGGTTGGGACACTGACGAAGGGTCGAAATCGGTTATTGACCACTGCGAGAGTTTCGAGTGAACCCAAGAAGGTCCGTGGAACCAAAGCGGGTGGTCCATTATTTGCATCGGGGTAAGTCCACGGGATAGACAATCGGCAGGGTTTTCCGTACCGGACACGTGATAAAAGTTCCGTGATCCTAACTCATCTTGGATCTTGGCCACTCGGTTCGTGACAAACGTATCCCAACGGTGGGGTGAAGAATAAACCCAACATAAAGCGACGGTTGAGACAGAAAAGGCAAATATTCTTTCTATGTGAACTCTATCACTACATGCACTGGTAACTGCAGTGATAAGCTTAGCAAGGAATAATATCGCGCAAAGCTCTAAGCGCGCGAGAGAGACAACCTTACGTGGGGAGACCCTTGACTTAGATCTAATGAGGCTGATCGAGTTTCTATCATTATTCTGGACGTGAAAATATACAACGCCTCCGTAAGCCTTCTCGCTAGCGTCTGCAAACCCAACGACAGTGATGACGCTATTTCTATCGACGTTTATATGACGTAAATTAAAATAAATTTCGCTTAGTAAAGGAAGTTCCTCTCTAAAACGTAGCCACGAACGAACAATGCTATCAGGCGGCGCCAATCGCATTCACATAACCAAAGTTGTTTAATCAAAAGCTTAGCGTATAGCACCACCGGGGCTACGAAACCCATGACATCCCATAATCTAGCAACGCATGACAGCATTGTGCGCTTTGTGCACGTATCTACGGGCGGGTTTACCTTAAGGCTAAACACGTCGGACTCCTGTGACTAACACAAACCGAGCATCTTGTGCGTATCAAAATCGTCGAATTCCTTTATCGCCGAAAGGCGGTTCGATAGTGGGATTGTATCTAAAACCGTACGCTTTCATGAGCTTTATAACCTCGGCGGTGGTTAAGATGGCCACCTCCACGCTATCAACCGAATACACAAAATCATCCATATATAATTCACTCTCAATTGCCCTCTTAGCTTTAGGATAAGAGGGACCTTCATCGTAGGCGAGCTCTCTCACCATGCGTAGCGCATGAAATGGGCTCGACATTAAACCAAAGCAAACGCGGTTAAATTCAAACACCATTAGAGGTTCCTTTGGGTCAAAGCGATAAAAATGCGTTGAAATCGACGGTTGCATTCACAGACCCCTATGCAAAGAAACATTTGGCGAATATCGGCGGATAGTGCTATACTGAACAAACGAAAATTTGCTATTATATTAAATAAATTGCCCTGTAAATTTTTCCCGCTATAGAGGATATCGTTAAGCGAAAGGTGAGTGCTAGTTCTAGCACTAGCATCGAGCACTACACGTAACTTGGACGTACGAGTAAGTTTGTCTTCCCTAATGACACCGTGATGCGGTATGATATACGACGGCGCGTCTTCGTAGTTCTCTAATTTTGCAGCCACAAGTGATAAGTAACCCTCCCATATATATTCATTAATGACGCCGTCATAAGCTTCTTTCAATCTGGGTGAAGCGAGCATCCTGCGCTCCAAACAATAGAAATGTTTTTCCGTCATTTCGTCGCAGAGAGACAAAACATCCCCTTTAAAGGGTAGCGCTACACTATGTCGACCGTCGCGATCACGAACGGTCGTGCGGACGTAAATTTCCTCGCATAATCTATCATCTGGGATAACTATAGTTGGAACGTTCACCTCCACCATCTCCCAAAATTTACGAACTAAAGACTCGAGCGGTTCGACAGCCATACAACAATAAGAGGTTGCCGAAATATTATCCATGATAGGGGCGCAACCAACGATGACGTAGCCCAAGGCGCTCTCCAGTGCGTAAGGCGGGGTATACGAGGGGTTGCCCCTGACCTTATTGTGTAACAAAAGATGAGTGAAAACCGATGCTCCAATGAGCATGTCTATATTTCCGGGGACGGCGTAAGTATCATCTGCCAGAGTCAAATTCTCAAAATCAATCATTGCCGAGGTGTCGACCAAAACGGTTGGCAGACGCTCGTTGACTTTATCTACTACTAATGCATTTATATTAAAGTTAATACTACGATCTAGCCGAGAATCAAACTTCAAATTTATAGAGCTCTGGGTAATTTTATTCGTACCTCCGATGCCTTTGACTACGGGACATGAAGGTATCTTATTTGTTAGCAATCCTAAACACTGGCAACATTGTCGCGTTATGAAACTACTCTGTGATCCGCTGTCTAGCAACACACGAACACTTTGTTCGTTTTCATGCGAATCCCTAACTACGATACGGGCTGTACCCAGCAACACGGTGGAAGGAGACTGCGTTCCCGTATTCAACAGTGAGCACAGGGCAACGTCACTCGGTCGACCATTAGAAGCGTCGACTTTAGTATGTGTAGTTTCCTTGTCCGATTTACTCGACGCGAATATGTTGCCACTTTCGAAAAGTAATAACGTGTGATGTATGCTGGCGCACTTATTACACACGGAACTAGAATTGCATTTAGCAACTAAATGTCTATCGCTTAGGCAATTTGTTTCGTCTTCTATTCTATAACGTTCGCTGTGTGAATGTTTACGGAAGGTCGCACAATTATACAAATTACCGTGTTGTTTATTCTTACATAGAACACAGGCACTATGAGGCGATGTAGGCGCAGCGGTTACGTACGTCAGAGACCCAGCGGTCACAGTTGATAAGATCTGTCTGCGATCGACAAATTTCTTAACTTCTTGTTTGACATTCGAGGAACGCTGTATCACTTTAATTTTATCTCGTACAAAGGAAGCTAAGGAGTCGAATAATGGTAACTCAGAGCAACGATACTCCATTTCAAACGCACGCATGGT